TACCCCACAATACTGGTATTTTTGTAATCGGAGTGACATATAGGAGCAAGAAATCCATGTCTGATGCCATTTTGAAATCCGAGGTGGTGGCATTCAGTTACAAAAAACTGGAAAATATTGTCCAATACCCCCACAATATCGGTATTATTGGAATCAGGGTGACGTGTAGGGACCGGCAATCGATGTCTGACACCATTTTGCAATTCAACATGGCGGCTTGCGGTTACAAAAAATCAGAAAAATACCATTAAATACTCCACAATATGGGTATTTTTTGTAATCTGGGTGATGTGTAGGGGCGGAAAATCTATGTCTGACGCAATTTTGAAATCCAATACAATCTTCACACTGCCGTACTCTAACGGAACTATCAACTCTATGCTTTCATCTACTCCATCTATCGTATAAAAATTACCACTACAGTCTGTTATTTGAAATTAGCATCTGCAACTATGTAAATCGTTGACTTCACGTAGAAGTAATACTAAAAACATATAGTCAAAGTGCAGAAATTCATGTCTGACCCCATTTTAAAACCCAAAATGGCGGCATAAGGGTAGAGAAAAACTGGAAAATGCTTCAAAATTTGTCTTAACTTTCTGACACATTGAATTAAGTTTTCTCAAAATTTCGTGATTTTTGGATAAGATTTATTAGCACTTACAAACATATTTGTTGCTCATCCATTTTAAAACAGATTTTAGTACAACAAGTTTAATTTTGAATGATAATGATAAAACTTTTTTTTACAAATGGTTAAATTTGTCTAGATTGCTCAAAACAATAAAAATGGATAGTGGGTATGAAAAAGCATTATTCTTTCTACTGAAACAGTTCGAAAAGATCACTTGCTTTAGATTAGATGGGAAATGATCTCTACTTTTCGAATTTACGGGTATCTTTTAAAAGTGTTTTATTTTGTTACTTCATACGTGAAGTTTACGATTTACAGATTTGGTTGGAAATGCAATAAATTATTAGCTAGCTCGATCGGGCCTCCCTTAGCTCAGTCGGTAAAGGCACAGCTACAAAGCAAGACCATGCTGGAGGTGGCTGGGTTCAATTCCCGGTACGGTCTAGGAATTTTCCGGGTTGGAAAATCTCTCGACTTCTCTGAGCATTAGAGTGATGCAAAATTTGAAATTTTCGCTCCACAATACTTAAACGATTCCAAATCGGATCCTGACAAACCTCTGAAAATTTGAACCCATTTGGTGAGAAACTGAGATGGCACAAACCATTTGAAGTTTGTATGGGAATTACTATGGTAAAACCAAAATTTTTGATCATGTCTATCTAATAATTCACCATATCGGTCTGCTTCAAAAGCTTTCAATTGTACTTGTAGGAAATTTTCCCAGCTACAACTTTTCTCAAGACCACTTTTTGATTAAATGCAAGGATCGAAAGTTATCAATGGTTCAATGTACTGATGTCTTATGATCATGCTCAATCAACTGCTCAGCAGGCAACATTGGTGTTTCTGGGGCGTTGAATAGGACACAAAAATCATGGCTACTATGTATGTTACGCTGCAAAATACAATGTTGCCTACAGAGCAGCTGCTTGATCAGGTCATAAGTTTACCAATCTCTTAAATAATTAATAACTTTTTCTTGTCTCGTTTTACATAGAAACGATCTTCGGAAAAGTTGTAGCTAAAAACTTTTTCTATAATAATAGTTATCGAACTGTTTTGCAGCTCAATATGGAAAAAGACTAGAAGGCAATGAACAAAAAGTTGAGATTTCCCATAGTAATTTACATGTAAACTTCAAATGGCTTGTGCGAAGTCTGTTCCTAACCAAATGGGTTGTAACTTTGGGAGGCTAATCATGACCCGATTTGAAACCATTTAAGCACTGTGGAGCGAAAAAGTCAAATTTTGCATCACTCTACTGAGCATAGAAGTATGATTGTACTTGCCTCACAATTATACCAATGCATAAATGGTACAGGCATCGAAAGCTCTCAATTAGTAGCTGTGGAAGTGCGTCTAGAACACTAAGTTGAGAGCACGCAATAAGCTAATATGCGTTATGCAATAAGCTTCAAATGCGAAGAAGAAGAAGAAGAAGAAGAAAAAGAAGAAGAAGAAGAAGAAGAAGAAGAAGAATTGTCTAGAGAAAGTTCTGAAGAGTATAGATTGATAGTTCAACTTCTGTTTGATTTTCACACTGCCGTACTCTAGTGGAACTATCAAAATATCCTCTTAAACACTTTCTCTAGCTAATAATTTATCGCAATGAAGCTTCATGTTGATATAAGTATAGCATTTCCTCCCAACACCATAGAATACACAAAGTCGAATAGTCAATCATTTTAAATTACACACTTAGAAAAAACTACTTGAACACTGTGCTGAATGGCCAAAAACGAATGGATGGATTGATAGGCTATTAGACAGTTAAGAATCTCGTTCCAAAAACTTGATCAGTCAATTGGTCATAAAACGAGCCATCCAACAGGAAGATACCGCAATGAATGGGGAGAAGAGCCCACCCTTTATCCACGAAATGCTAGCAACAGGGAGTTGACATTTTCACTTTCTCCTCATCCCGAATTTTGTATATACAGTAATAGGGGAAATGGCTCTAATGTTGGCCTATGGATCTAAGATTGGGCCTATCGCTAAAAATCTGCTATTTATCAATTTTATCTAGATTAACGCGATTTTGGGACAATACTTATGGATATTTTTGGTAGCTATTGATAATTTAGTCGATTGCTGAATTTATGGATGGGCCTAAATAAGGGGAATTTAGGCCGACATTACATCATTTCCCCTACGTAATATAATAATCAGATAGTCAGAAGCATAATGTCTACAAAATATGCGAGTCGATTTAAATCTGCCGAACATAAATGAGGGCTAACCTAATTTTTAACATAGAAGCGTCGATGCAAAAGGTGAAGGATGAGAGAAAGGAAAGTCAAAGACATGCAGAATTAGAAGTCGTCGAGATTGAATGCGCATGCTTAAATATCGTTGATCTAGTTATATCAATTTGAATTTCATCTAGCTATACTCAACTAACCATATCGTATCTCACTGACATTGTCTCACTCTTAATCTCCATTTTAAGTTATTTTGTGATTATATGATTACTTGGATATTCACATAAAATGTTGTGCAAGTATCACAAGTGGGGCCTCCCTTAGCTCAGTCAGTAAAAGCGCGGCTGCAAAGCAAGACCATGCTGAAGGGTGCGGTTTAGGAATTTTTCGTTTTGGAAAATTGTTCGACTTCCCTGGGCAATAGAGTATGATTGTACTTGCCACACAATTATACTAATGAAAAAAGGGTACAGGCATCGAAAATTCTCAGTTAATAACTGTGGAAGTGCATCTAGAACACTAAGTTGAGATCACGCAATAAGCTTAAATACGATAAGCATTAAAAGCGAAGAAGAATAAGAAGAGAAAGAAGTATCACAAGTTAAACAATGCTCAACTATGGAGAGCTCAATGTTTATCCCATTTATTCTTTGAATCAGCGAACACCAACATGATTTATCTGCTAGGAAACACCAAATAATATAAAGAGATACATATCAAACATGCAGTTTTAACTGATAGTACTTTATAAACATCAAGCTAACCCATATTGGACCCTGCCAACCCACGGCACCTGCACGGTTATGTGGGCCATCAGAATGGTTCATCGGTTGCGAAGTGAAGTACTTCTCAAACTGAAGCGATACATTTCTCTGTTCCAACTTTATCCTAAGTTATTTAAACTGAATATTATCAACCATAAACCCATCCCCCATACAAAATCAAATAAAATGGTTTCTGTATGGCAAACACGCCCGGACATAAACGAGAATATGGACACACATCTTCACTATCGCAACTACGTGTAATCATCGAAAGAACTTGCATTTTACTCAGGTACTTTTGAGCAAACTGCAATCACCCTTTCATACTTGAAATGTTCCACGACCAACCTGGCACAACGATTCCGTATACGCTCTCTGGTCAAAGCGCAGGGTTTACTGACTTGGCTATATAAGGCCCAAACTGCTACTATTGCTTATATTAGATTGTATCATAACTGGCTCTCCAACCCTATATGATCAAAATATGAACACAGACACAACTCAACATACTTCTCTTTACGATTGACTACTTGGCACCTGGCACAAGAATTCGTCATTTAGATTACTCTCAATAATCATTGATTAATTCCCTTGTCCCCCGCCATCAATAACTCCAAACTGGATACTGCAGGTTTAATTTTATCTTCTTTCTTCTTACAGGTCAGGCAAATTAGTTTCTAAGCAATATGCATCATATTCCCGATATCGAATAAAATAAAGAACAACCGATCGAAATTACTTTTATTTAACTCCGAACGAGACAATGGCAGAAAAACAAATGCACAATGGTCTCAAAGCCGTTGTTCTAGAACTTTGTACAATGTTGCACCGATCTATCTCAAATAATAAAATAATTGAAATTTTAAACTCACTAACCATAGAAACCAAACTAATCTCACTCACATCCAAACATTGGCCAAACATATATGCAAACTTTCTCGAAGACACCATCTACTTAAATCTAATGCCCTAAATACGGCTTTGGGGCCATTGTGAAATTGAGGCTTGCAGAATATGTACTGCAGATTTGTTTCCTAATTAGCTAAGTGATCGAATCCATTCGGAAAACAATATTTTCAAATTGTTTGTTTCATTAGTCTTACTCTGTCTAAAAATGCTTGCAGCTTGCTGTCTAGACTGCCGGCAGACGGTGTGTGGCTGTTCGATTTACCTTCTTGTAGCCCACCGGTTTGGAATCTCATCCACCACCAGTTTGACCCGTCGAGCCACTATTGGCCAGCCTGGCGCTGGATGTAAGCCCTTGTACCGGCTGAAGTGAACATGCTTTCGATATAATTGTAGAATAAATATCTATAAAAGCATCGGCATGTGATTGAAATGTTATCATTCGGCAGTTCAAGTTCCAATAGCACTCATCTAGGTTAACCAAGCGATATAATGCTTAAGGTATGGTTTTAAATTAATTTGATAAACTTTTTTTTCTTCAAATTTAAATATTTGTTTTGAACAGATCGCTACAGTGCTATTTTTGCTGGTAGCAATTGCTTGCCATGCGGCGCCCCAGGGTCGGAGAAGTTCTGAAACTGGACGCACAAGCGTTAATGATCAACCGCGAAGGAATTCTCTTTGGAGGGAAGCAAGTAACTCTCGACGTCAGCAGGGACAACAAACTGAACGGGATAATCTATCCAGAGAGCAACAGTCTGGGGACCAGATCGAGGAGCAACAACGTAGGGAAGAGGAAGAAACAAGTGAAAATGAACAAGAAAATGGTCAGAAAGAAGCTCGTACGACAAATTGGCAGTACGAAATTGCACATGTTCAGGAAAAACGTGGACGAGAAGTGACACCCAGTCAACAGGGAGCTCGCCGTGGAACGGGAAGGCGTTTGGAAAATGAAACAAGCAGTGATCAACAACAAGAAGAAGAACAAGAAGAGCAAGGTGAGGAAGAAAATCAACAAGATGACGAACAAAGTAACCAAGAAGAAGTGGATCAAATTGATCAACGAAACCAAGCCGAAAATCAACGACGACGAGAATCAGCTGGCAGGGACTCCAGACGAGGTGGTAATGGACAACAACGCAACGTAAATCGTCAAAACCAACGCCGTGGAGGTTCACAGAAACAATCAACTCAAAGAGAAGTTGAACAGATCAATGAACAGGAAGATCAAATCCAGGAGGAACAAGAGGTGAGCGAAGAAAACCGCCAAGAGGGCAGCCAGGAGAAGAACAGTGAGGCAAATGGTTTACCCAACTATGAATTTTCCTACGGAGTCAACGATCCGGATACTGGGGATCACAAAGATCAATGGGAGAAACGCGTCGGCGATCACTTGGAGGGAGGCTATGTTCTTGATCTACCGGACGGCTCCAAACGGGTCGTTCACTACAAAAACGATGGCAAGCGGGGATTCGAGACGAATATCATGCAAATTGAAAGGAAAAAAGCCAGCGAACAATCCGAGCGCCGGAAGAAGGAGAAATCAAAGAATGTTGCTCACAGCTATAGCAAACTGAAACAATTGAATTGAAATTAGAATGGTTTAGTTGATGTGAACTTAAGCTATGTGTAATTGACCAGTTTAGTAATCTAGTATAAAATCTATAAAAGTGTGATGTATGCTTATTTGAGATTTGCTTTGGAGCTACCATTGGAAAACACATCTTAATCGTACTAAGCTATTGTTGCTGCAATGTTTCAAATTGTGAAACGTTGCCAGCTATCCTCATGAGTGTAAAATATATAACAATTGAAATCTACCACTATCGAAAAGATTGTTTGGGTAATTTATTCATACATTCCCCTTCTTCCTTGATACGACTTTTTCAATACCGTCCTTTCACAACTCTCAATTTATAACATTGTTTAACATTTGCACCGATCTTTACAAACACACTATTTTCCTTCAGTGATAAAGATCCATAATTTTGTTCTTTGTCATTTGCTCAAATAAAATTAAATTACATTTCATTTTAATCTAGATGCTGCAGCTATCACAGTAACTTACCAGTTTTAATTGTAATGATAAATATATATTTCAAAATGTGCTATCATTGTTCCTGCTTTGGCAATTCAGTATTTCAAGCGGTTTTTCTAAAACTTCATAACGGTATAACAATGAACATCTTAAAACAAAAAAGTAAAACCAAATCTTATCTAAGTATAAAGGGAAATATTCGATTTTGCCTGAAATTATTAATAATTTTGTTGGATATTCGTTCTAAAGTCTCAACGTTCGAAATTCTATGTACCTCGGTAGTACTGTACCAGGGAGGCAGCTTCAAAATCATCTTCAGAATTTTGTTCTGAATCCTTTGACTTGCTTTTTTCCTGGTACGGCAACAACAATACCATATTGGCACAGCATGAAGCATGGCCGATCTTAAAACTTCTTTAAATACTAGAAGTTTTTATTTTTATTCGATTTTCTGCTTATAAGAGGATACAAATGATGCTGCCATGCTTCCTCCGTCTCTTTAACTCTCCGTTACTCGCGCTGTTGTACTTTGTACAACACACATGAGTTTTCCATTGCCATTTTGCATCCGAGCTACCAATCGATCTGAAACCAACGAGTATTCCTCAAAAACTTGTTTTGATTTAAACAAGCTAAACTTTGATTACAGTAAACACCTTAAAAATGCGGATAATAGGGAAAATGTAAATGGAAACCGCGTAAACTGTGACCATACTACGTGGGATTTGACTGAATTGATTACAACATAGGATATAACGAGATCCTGACCAGATAGAAAGTTACTGTCTCCAACAAAATTGTTCAGGAGATGATAGCCCTGGTGGACAGTAGTTCAGAATTTTCTTACTACGGAGCGCTAGCATACATGTGAAATTCTTGCATGTGATATGTCTCGAGATCTTGACCAGATAGAAAGTTACTGTCTTTCATAAAGTTTTTCAGGAGATCAAAGCCTATTGCTTGGTGCTCAATAGTTCAGATGCTCACTACGCGACGCTAGTATACAGGTGAAATTCTCATATAAAATATCTCGAATTCTCAACCAGATAGGAAAGTACTGTCTTCGGCTGTTGTTCAGGAGATCAAGGCCTTTTCGCAGGTGGACAGTAGTTAAGAGTTTTCTCACTTCGCGAAAATGTGAAATTCTCGCATATAAAATATCTCTGGATCCAGAAGTAAATGTATTCGGCATAGTTTTTCAGGAAGTCAAGATCTTTTTGTTGGGTGACAATAGTTCAGAATTTTCTCTAGTATATACGTGCCATTCTCGTATATTCGGCTCGAGATCATCAGCTAGAAAGTAGCTGTCTTCGGCAAAGTTGTTTAGAGGGTCAAGAATTTTTGGCTGGTAGACAGTAGTTAAGAATTTTCTAACCACGTGGCAAGTTTTTCGCTGAGATCCAGCAAAATAAAATACCGTGCTGCTCGGTGGTGCCCATCTCGGCAAAAAATCTAAATGTGTAGGTACATCCAAAGTCATAAAGAAAAGGCCTGATAGTATGAAATTATCATCTCGTTCATGGGTCCAGTGCTCTCGCAACGTGGGGCTTTAGGTAGTGATGAAAACGTCGCTAGAACTATTCCACAGCCGCAGTCAGTTTATGAGCAACAAGAGGGACGCACATTTTTGCCTGTGGACTTGGAGACATACTTCAAGTTCCCGCGTACATCGTACGGGCTAGGCAAAAATGTGCGTCTATCTTGAAAACTGTCGCTTTAATGGCCCTTCGCTCATTTTCATCTTCTATTCAATTTTCATACTGCCGTACTCTAACGGAACTATCCACCTACCCTCTTCTAAAGATCATTCTCTAGCTAATAAATCATCACACTAAAGCTTCATGTTAGCATTTCCAACCAACTCTGAAAATCGTTAACTTCGCGTATGAAGTAACATAAAAAAAAAAAAAAAAAAAAAACACTTTGAATGTTGAAAATTATATTGAGCAATTTGCCTCTTCATATTTCCATTCAAAATGTTCTTAAAAGAACGAAAATTGGACGTGAAATGACAAAGATATAAAAATAACACATTTGTATGTTTTTTTGGGGTGTCCTCAAACTTATGATCGGGAGTGTACGGTTTTATAAATTTCTTCATTCAACTGAGCAAAACTGCCCCACTCTCTGAGTTAGTCTCGCTGTCTGTACACACGTAAATACAGGGAATTTGTTTTGCTCTAGACCCCATCGATAAGGCATTTTGAAATTAGCCTGAAATGAAAGGGAGACTCTAAACATTCATTTGGTGGATGTTTCAGCTATATTGATCTTTTAAGATAATGTTTTCTGAGATACGTGTTACCACGTGTTACCACTTATTTATCAGAGGTATACAAGTGGAACGACTCACCCCAACCCAAGCAACGGCTTGTCATAAAGAAGTTGAAAATACTTTTTTAATGACTTACGTAAAGAATCAATAATACTGTAATATATGTCATTTAATATATTTATATAACCTAAAAAGCGCAAGACGCGGAGCTTATGCAACTAAATACTGGTCTTATAACATGTTTTGGAAACATCATAAACACCAGAGGCAAAAAAAAAACAATAAAAAAAAAAATGAACATGGGATTTGATCACTGGTTTTTGGCGTGGAAGACTTAAATTACTTCCTAACTAGACCAACTCTGCTTGATGAGATGTTTGTTATAAGTATCTATCATGTTCTTGCCAATGGCATGAAAATTATATTCACGTTCAACACGCTTTCGATCCGTCCTAAAGATGTTTTGTTAGCAGCAAAGCGTACATCTAATTGCCAGAGTGTTATTTTAAAGTATTTTCAACTCCTTATAAGACAACCTGTACATTTTCAGTTGTATTAATTTATGAGATGTCATAAACAAGTGTTTTCAACTTTCTTCATAACAAACCTCCGAATACCTCTTAAGAAACTGTCAAGCACTGCGTGCAGAGACAGTCCGGCTTAATGGCGCCGTCAATGTTTACGTCAATCTGGAAAGTTCAGAATCTCTTCAAGAACTTTATAAATTCAACTTAGATTGATATTGTATACGAACAGTTTTATTGTGATTTTAAAACAGTAAGATGCACGTTTAATTAACATTTAAAGATAAATGCAAAAGAAAACTATTTTGGAAAATGTTGAATCTAGGAAGTATGAAGAAAACATCGTTAAACCTCATATATAACGTGGGATGTTTTCTGCATCACTTATAATACATTTATATAACAAGCAGTTCTAATTATTTTTCCAAAAGATGTTTTATGTGTTACTTGGGAATTTATGTATCCACAAATCTGCATGAAAATCTGCACCAGTAAAAGAAATCCAGAATATATTTGACTTATCCCACTTAGGCTGATGTAAATTGTATTTTTATTTAATAATATTTGATATGCGAGAGTTGCCCGCCAAGTTTTCAGAAATTTCTGAACTACTTTTCATCAGCCAAAAGATTTTAATCTCCTTAACAGCTTTGCCAAAACAGTAAATTTCTAGCTGTTCAGGATCTCGAGATATTATATATGCGAAGATTTCACGTATATCCTAGCGCCGCGTAGTGAGAAAATTCTGTACTGTCGACCAACGAAAAAGTTTTGATCTCCTGGACAACTTTGCCGATGACAGTTTAGCAGGTCTCGAAATATATCTAATGCGAGAATTGCACATGTATACAGAATCTCGAGATATTTTGCATGCGAGAATTTCGCGTGTATACTATCGCCACGTAGTGTGAACATTCTGAACTATTGTGCACCAAGCAATAGGCATTGACCTCATGAACAACTTTTTCCAAGACAGTAATTTTTTACCTGTTCAGGATCGCGAGCTATAGCATACGCCAGAATTGTACACGTTTGCTAGCGCCACATGGTGAGAGAATTCTAGGCTACTGTCCACTATCCAAAAAGTCTTGACCCCTTGAACAAGTTTGCCCAAAACAGTAACTTTCTATCTGCTCAGAATCTCGAGCTATTGTATATGCGAGAATTGCATGTGTATACTAGCACCGCGTAGTGAGAAAATTCTGAACAACTATCCACCAACGAAAAGATCTTGTCTTCCTGAACAACTTTTCCAAAGGCATTTACTCTCTATCTGGTCAGGATGTATCACATGCGAGAACTTAACATGTATACGAGTGCTACCTAGTAAGAAGATTCTGAACTACTTTTCACCAGCAAAAAGTTTATGATCTCCTGAACAGCTTTACCGAAGACAGTAACTTTCTATCTGGTCAGGATCTCGAGATATAAAATATGAGAATTTCACGTGTACACTAGCGCCGCGTGGTGAGAAAATTCCGAACTACTGTCAATCTACAAAAAGACCTTGACCTCCTGAACAACTATGCCGAAGACAGTACCGTTCTATCTGGTTGGGAACTCGAGCTATTGTATATGGAAAAATTGCACGTATATACTAGCACCACGTAGTGAGAATTTTCTGAACTACTCTCCACCAGCAAAAAGGTTATGATCTCTAGAACAACTTTGCCGAAGACAGTAATTTTTTATCTGCTCAGGATCTCGAGATTTTCCATGTTGTAACCAATTAAGTCAAATCCCTCATAGTACCG